GGGGGGGGGAGAAGGAAGACAGGTATCCCAAAATGTAAATAGTGAGATCTCTGAGAAGTATGATTATATGATGTTTTTTTTCCTTCTATGCTTTTTTAAGTTAACAAATTCAGTTTCTCATTTTAGATGCAGAAGTTAAGACACAAATAGGTTAAGAGAGGACTTAACCCACAGCTAAAGTGCAGGCTTTAAAACAGAACAGCCTTAGCCGGTTTGGCTCAGTGGACAGAGTGTTGGCCTGTGGACCAAAGGGTCCTGGATTCGATTCCAGACAAGGGCGCGTACTTTGGTTGCAGGCTTCTCCCCAGCCCAGCCCTGGTCGGGCGCATACAGGAGGCAACCAATCAATGTGTTTCTCTCATATCAATGTTTCCTCCCTTTTTCCCTCCCTCTAAAAATCAATGGGAAATGTCCTCAGGTGAGGATTAAAACACACACACACACACACACACACACACACACACACACAAACCAAACCAAACCAAAAAAAGCTTCTATGGTGCCCAACAATTATTTTAGTAGCATACAAACCTACTAAGGTGAACAATATGCTGAGAGAGATAAAAAAGACATGCTCCCTGCCCTTAAAAATATGAATCTGGTAGAGAGGATCACTTATTTTATATTCTCTCTCCCTCTCTCTCTCTCTCTCTCTCTCTCTCTCTAGAGGCCCGGTGCACGAAATTCGTGCACAGGTAGGGTCCCTAGGCCTGGCCGCGATCAGGGCCTTCTGGCTGCCAGCCTGAGCCTTCCTTCACTCTGCACCACCACCTGGTGGTCAGCGCACGTCATAGCAAGTGATAGAACTCCAGGTCTCCTGGTCGAACTCTGGAGGGGACACTTTGCATATTAGGCTTTTATATATATAGATTACCACATTCCACAAGCAACTCCTTGAAGGTTATAAATTGACTTGCTCAACTACCTGTCCAAAGATTGATAAACTTGACACTTTGAAGAACTGGTACCTTCCCCCACAGGAGGTCCCCACTGACCCCAGTCCTGCCTATATCCCAGGTTGCTTCCTCCAGGATCCATCAGGATGCCATTTGCTATTCCTTGGTCCCCTCCCCACCACAACTTCATGTGGCTTTCCTTTTCATCACGCCAGCATTTATACTGATACATCCATGATAGGCAACACCCAATCAACTTCTTCAAACTGGCCTGTATTACCTCTACCCAAGATCACTAACAATTTATCCAATGTCAAAACCTTTCTCTTTTAGCTTCTAATGCTGTGGATTACTTGACAATATCCTCTGTGAGCTGAACTCTAAAAGGCAATAATCACTTACTTGACGTCCTTACTACAGTAGTTCCTCTTTATCTGCTATTTCACTTTCCATGGTTTCAGTGACCCGCTATTAACCATGGTCCAAAAATATTATATGGAAAATTCCAGAAACAATTCATAAATTTTAAATTGTGCACAGTTTTGAGAAGTATAATAAAATCTTGCCCCATCCTACCCAAGGTGTGAAGCAGCCCGCTATCCAGTGTATCCACTCTGAACATGCTACCCAAATGCTGGTCACTTAGGAGTAAGGTAGGTTATCAGATCTACTGCCATTATATTGCAGTGTTTGTATTCAAGTTACCCTATTTTACTTAATAATGGGCCAAAATGCAAGAGACCCTGGCAATTTGGCTATGCCAAAGACCAGCCATAAATGTTATCTAAGTATCTGTATAGTAAAAACATTGTATATGTATGGTTTGATATAACCCGTGGCTATGGGCATCTACTGGGTGTGTGTGTGTGTGTCTTAGAATGTATCCCTTTCAAAGAAAAGGGGGGTGGGGGGACTACTGTACATTACTTCATCTTTGTAAACTTTAAGGCAAAAATGAAAGGTAGTAATACTAATTTCCATAATTACCTCTTCAATCTTTCCTGAACAACCTGATCAGACCTACGCACATAGAAGGAAGATAGTGGTATTAGATACTTTGATTTACAAAGTTGTTAGTCAAGTATCAAAGTTCCTGTTGCTTATATAAAGGTTTGATATTCAGGAAAGCCAGTCATTCCCAGATGCTCAGATTCTTAAGTGTTGTCCTAACTATTTCAGAACAGAATTAAGTCCAATACTTGAACTCACAGTGACCTTTATAGAAGACTATACTTTTTGGGGCAGAAATTATGACGACAAACCAACCACTTCCTTCAAAAAATGAGTATCCAGTCATAAATGACCAATCAAACCTTGTTATTATTGAGGAGGTAGGAGTCCTATTTCAGTACCAAATCTACTCAGAAATTTAAGGTTCTTGCCCTCTTCTCATTCCAGGAGTTCTTCCAATTCCATACACAACAACTCAATTTACTTTCATAAACACCTCCATATCATGAAATTTTCAAATCTATTGAGAATTTTCAGAAAAGTTCAAACAAAAAATTTTTGCCCAAAAATAGTGAACCAGAAATTTATATGATCTCTACCTGCTTGAGGGTAGAAATTATGGCCAAGCTCTGGAATAGCAAAGAATAGCAGAGAAAGAAGACAGCTTTACAACCACTAAACAAGCTGGCCATGCACTGCTAGGGTTAAAGAACACTCCAGGCAAGTGACAAAATAAATCAAGTTACCTCAGAGCAAGATTTTGCTTGTTTGGAAACTACGCTTCCGTTATTCTCAGAAGACTTGCGTTTCACAGCTCCAGTTCTTGTAATATTACCTAAAATATTTAAAAATAATTAAGTTGGCTTCCCTATTTCCTTTAACATGAGGATAAAGGGGAAAGGCAGGAAGAAAAAGAAAGATTTTAACCAAACAATATTATCTTACCACATGTCACAAAGTTATCATGTACAACTTCAACATGAATCAGTGATGGATCGACAATTTTCAGTGCTGGAATCTTTAAAATAAATAAAACAAAGATAATGAAAAATTAGAAAATGCTCTGGAATATACCAGAAATTAGCTCTTTTAACATAATAGGAGCTTCTTACAAATAATTTCTTTTAAGATAATTGTGACATTTCCCGTTCTACTCTAATATTTTAACATAATAAAGGTGTTTAACTCCTTTAAGATATCATAATTCCTTTTTATAATTACCTTCCCCTGTCATATTACATGCAATTGTCATCATCTTTACCTCCTCACAGTTGACTTGAAGAGTTTTGGATGCTGGGTTTCCATTTATAACAGTTGCGGAAAACCACTGAGTTGATGGGTCCAAGCTATAAATTTTTACTTCGGAACCAACTAAGTTTTTGTCACCTTAAAAAAAATAAAAATTTTAGAGCAATTTGGATTATCTTTCAACAGCACCATCATCCAAGATAATATTTTCTGAAATCGTTTATAAATGTAATAGACAAAAGTAAACATTAACAGATATTTCATAAACAAGAGAAGAAAGACATTTCCGCAAAGCTAGGAGAAAATTTAACTTTTTATTTTAAAGCTCCATTCTCCTATTGATTTATCTTAGAGTGGCAATATATTTACTTTAGCATTTGTATCAGATCAAATAGTATCAGAAAACTCATTGAGCTCTAACTCACTGTCCTAGAAAGAGTCCTTAGAAGATCCAAAAATTCAGGAACCCCAACAGAACTGCTAAGTCTGATAAAAAGACTTTGTGCCTGGTCAGCATGGCTCAGTAGTTGAGTGTTGAACTATGAACCAGGAGGTCTCGGTTTGATTCCCAGTCAGGTCACATGCCTGGGTAGCGGGCTTGGTTCCCAGTGTGGGGTGTGCAGGAGGCAGCCAATCAATTGATTCACTCTCATCACTGATGTTTCTCTCTCTCTCCCTCTTCCTTCTTCTCTGAAATCAATAAAAAATGTATATTTAAAAAAGACTTTAATTATAAAACTGACCAAGAAACTCAATAACAGTAAATGGGAAGCTCAGGATTACCAAATTAATGTTTCCTCAATTTTATAAGACTGGAATTCCAAACATATCAAATTCCATGTCTAAATATAGCTGAACTTTTAAGATATCTAGCTTACTTCTATAGTTTTCACATAATCCCCGAACGGTCCAAATTTCAGAGGCTTTAGAATATATTATAGAATACAAAGTCCTTCAATCATCTAGTTGCATGGGAGAAAGCAGCAAAGGAATTTCTAAAAAATTAGAAACTGCAATGAAAGGAGGAGTGAAAAGGGCTAAAACATAGCTTTTCTTAGAAGCTAATCATTGATCAACTCATGAACTATCCACATACCTTGTAAAAGATGGCTTTCATCCAAATGTTTCACAATCAAAGCTTGAAATTCTTTACTGACATCATGGTTGTCCATAAGGGAAAGTCGAAGACGGTTTACATCCTGAGAAATGGAGGATCATTACATTTTAAGGTAACAAACAAAAAGAGTTATTGAAATTCCATTGGATATTTTAATCAGTTTAATCAGAGAGGTTAAAGTAGTATCAATTAGCCATTTGATGGCACCAATGAACCAGACAGGTCATAACAGGAAACCAAATGAGCACAAGACTAAGGTAGACTGAAGGGAAGTCACCCCAAGATAAGAGCAAGACAAATACTAAGAGTGGCTCACAGCATAATTTTAAATAAGTCATAACTTTGGTTATGGGAAACATAATAAGCAAACAAATAAACAGGTGAATCCATGTCCAAAACACCAGGGTAAAAGACATAGAAACAGAGATCCATACTGTCAGCTCACTGACATTGCTGTTTTTAACAAATCATTTCACACAGAATCATTTAACCTAACTAGAATTCCAAATGCATTCTTCAATAGTAAAGGGGTGGAGGGTGATGATGACAAAATTTGAATGAACAGCCTAAATCTTCAGTGAGCCAGTTTTGAAACACTAAATTCTTGGCAGTGGTTCCATTTTGGGCACTATTCCAGTCTTCTGGCTTTGTGCATACACTCAGTTATGATAAATGTATACAGAAACTGTCTTTAGGAATAAGCTGCCAACCCAAACTATATTGCACAGAAGCCCTTCCAATACCAGGTTGTCATGCTTTTCTGCCACTGTGAAATGGCTAAAAATAAGTTATATTAGAAAAGATAACTAGTCTTTTAGAGGCCATTCTGGGGAAATGCAAGTAATACTAGACTTAACCTAGAGTCTTCATAAGAGCTCAACATTAATTATCAGAATGTGTCACCTGTGAGGGTTTTTTTTCCTCATGCTACTGCAAGTTCAAAAAATCTAAATGTGTTCCTACTACTGTGAGACAAAACAGCACAGTAATGGGGAAAACCACAAAAGGCTAAGTAAGTTAAAATAATTCTACTCGGCTTAGGAGAGTTTTAGGCTCATCAAAAGTGCCAGAGAGTTGACCTGGACACTTTGTCTTTTTTCTTAACCACAGATAACACTTCGGTGTCGGGTGAATTTCCCGCCAAAATATAAGATGGCGCGTTAAAATGCCTATATCTTTTGAAGTATGGGTTCGATTGAAATGAAATATTTGGTAATACGCAGTTACAATCGGCCCGAGTTTACACGTTTCCCGCACTCCACCGCAAATCTATATGAACCGAGTTTAAGACGGCTCCCGCGGAGTACGCGCAATTCACGCGAGCCGACTTAACTCGTTTCCCGCAACCCAAGTGATAACTGAGCCAAATTCAATCCAAAAGGCAGACCTTGAGTTTCAATACCAACTTTTACATCGACTAAATGATTTTCGGGCTCTCTGTGCATTACTTAGATAAGCATCGTACTGCGGTAATCACATCCCCCAACCTAGAGTTTCACACAGTAGAAGCCTGATGTGACCATATCCATAAGGGAATGCCCTGAAGCACCAAACTTTGACCACTGTTGTCATCAATAAAAGTCAAGAGCACGTCACAGTCTCTCTCAATTGTTATACAAAACAGCATTCACACTGATGGCCACAGTGCATCTCCCTGAGAACAAATAAACTTCCTATCAAGATTTTTCTTTTTCAATCTCAATAGACAAAATTATGAGTTCTATTTAACTGAAAAGCTTGAACACTTGCAAGATATAAAACAGAACTGTCCTGGAAAAAAAAATGCTAACAAGTAAAATATATTCTATCACTACGTAAAGCAAGATATATCCCCAGTCCCTCCTATATGTTCCTCAGTCCTTAAGAGCAAGTCATTCTTTCTTTTAAGGCAGAAAAAATATCAAGATGCCTTATCTAATATATGAAGGTAACTGGCACCTGAAGTTAAATAAAAGCATCTCCCCCTGTTCTACTTACTTAAACATTATAAAATAAGTGAGTAAACCTGTTTTCACTCACTTCTAAGATGTGGAAGTAAAAGTGAGACGAGTAGAGGAAAAAGCCAGTGTTCTGGGTTTTCCAATTCAGGGCCAGCAATAGCAATACCCATTGGCCCTAGATTGCCTTTAAGCAAAATAAAGAGGGTGAATTGTTCTACAGGTCACTGAATAGAAGCAAGTAAAGGGGATTATTAAGCTTTCTAAGTGACATCTAAAAGATGAATGTTATTATAAGACCAACATTATTCCCAAGGTAAAGATTTGTGGAGATAAATTAATCTGTGTGTTCTTCCCCTCCTAACAATTT